CCATACTGGGTAACCAATCACAGCGCCGGAACAATAGAGTTCACACCTAAGAACGATAGAACAATATCGGATTTTCCCTGTTGTCGATAAAGTTGAACTTGTTCATCGAAGAGTTCACTCAAAGATTCTTGTACTTGATCAGTCAATTCTACTCATGGATTAGCATTATCATAGTTGTCATCATTGTCGTCGACTTCGTCATCATCATAATTTCCTTTCTGCACGTCTTTTGTCTCGGAGTCACTACCAGTGTCATCCTCTGACGCATCATGGTCGTCTTCCTCTTCTCCTTCCTCTTGTCGTCATAGTCTTCGAGTGGGTTACCAAAGATATCTTTGTCGTGCGAACTATTGGTCATGATGGTCATTCAATAAAACAAAGGTTTTTTCCTACGATGTGTTCGTGGCGGGGATTGTTCTGAAATGATTTCGCACTAGTGTAACGTTTGTTTAAATTTTTACTTTTCTACGATAAAATCGTATACATCCTTCATGTGTGAAAAGGTGACTGAACACGCGTCGACTGTTATCACCGGCAGGATGTAATTCTGAGGCCAGATATCCGTAGGGGCGTTGAGTAACTTTACGGTTCACTCCCACTCCCGTCTTGCCACCACGTAGTAAATGCTTGCAATAATAAATTCTTCAGACCCAATTGATCTCGAGGGTTCTTGAAAGCGATCACAAAATGGGCATTCCTTGAAATATTTTTAGCATATTTGCCAGGTGGAAAGATGTCTTGACACAAATAAATGACGGTGATATTGCGATGATGGGAATGTTTGGTAAATCTCACGGAAACCATCTTGCCATGCGCCATAGCAGTAATGAATCACGGTAGGAGGGTTTACAAACAATTTATCTAAATGGTCTAGGATTAACGACTTGCTGAAACAAGTCTTGCCACACGCAGAGGGTCCCACGATTAAAATGCTACAAGGTGTCTTAAATCGGAAAGCATCGATCATTTCTACTCCCTCGCATAGAATAGGTATCATTTGGCTGAAGGTTTCAGAATCTTAAGCTAGAGATGGTGGGAAGTTCACTGTTGCAGATGACTCATGGCTTTCGTTATCCCTTGAGTTCAAACATGAATATTTCTCGTGACGGTTTCTGTTGTCTGAACGGCTGAATGGTCTCTGACAGTGACGACAATGGTATGATATAATAAACTCACTCCTTACAGAGCTTTGGTGAACAAAAGTAGCACTGTGCACTACCTCGTTACACGCAGAAAGTAATGGAAGTGTAAGTGCCTCTTCCTCTTATTCAGTTTGAGCTGGAGGAGAGTTTTTTTTCTCGTTTTCTCCGGCGATAGTCTCGCATCCATTGACAGTGGCGATCTAAATTCCTTTGACGATAGTCTTTCATCCATTCACAAAAGTCGTTCTCAATTCCTTTAACGATAGTCCTTGATCTTTTCACGAATGCGATCTTGATTTTTCTTTCGATAGTCTCTCTTTTTTTTTTTAAAGAAGGCGATCTTCATTTTGTTGGTCATGTGCATTCTTTTTGTTTATTAATGATGGCGTCTTTATTTCGGTGAGAGTCTTTGCGGTATTTCTCAATGCCTTCTTTTTTCTTTTGGTAATAATGTTTACTATAGGCTAGGTGACTGTATCGTGTCCTCAAGTAACGTTCATGCAAACGGTCTTTGCTTTTCTCGTCATACTTTCGTTATTGCCCCCTCTGCTTAACTCTTCTCTCTTCCTTCATGGCAAGCGGTTATGGAAAGGTATTTAAAATATTTTAATTAATCATTCTAGTCCCAGATTAAGCATGAAAAGTTGGAGATAATAATTAAAATAAGAATGGTCATTCAAGTTTGGGAAGGCTCAGCGGTTGCTCGCGACTTTGCCAAGCTAAAGCTTGGTGATTTTTCTTTCGTGAATTTTTGCAAGACATTGCTGTTTCTTCAGTTTGCACAAGCAACCTGTATTTGTGGTCTAAATCAAAAGTGTGAAATGACCACAATGAATTCGAACTAAAAGACATTTTTTTAAATAGTGGTGCAGCGACCACATCCGCATATACGCACGATCGAGCTCGTGTTTCCATGAACATGCCTAAAATCATAATTGCGAGCACAATTCCTAAGGGCCTATGCTAATACCCAGCAATTTCTTTTAGGAAATTACTTTAAAAAGTGTCTATAACACGAAATTTTTTTTTCGCATTTTTTGATTGATAGCTATATTCAAACTTAGAATTAATCGATTTTAGCGACTAGCGAGTTCTCCTTGACCATTTTTTTGTGCATTGAAAATATGATTTGGCGGCTAAAAAGTGCCCCCATTAAGCGCGCGGCCAAAATGATCAGCACCACAATTTCATTAGAAACTTATCCCTTTATGCATATTAAATGCCCTTCCTTATTGTTCTTTACTAATGATATTGAAGGCAAACAATTAATAAGTCAGCGTGTTTTGAAAACTTAGACGTGTCTTCTGGGACTATTGTAGACTCCGTCTCACTCATTTCCTCAAAAGAGGTGGTTTGCCAAGTTGCGTCCGATGATGGTTGCACTAAGATGATTGCCTTCCTAAAATGAGCAACTTCCCCATGGTCATTAGAAAAAAAAAACAGACGACACCCGAGGGGCCTGGTACCTCCACGGGGACATCAGCAGTAACATTATTCTCGAAAGTTTCAAGAGGAACGTCACCCGAGTGGTTCGGCACCTCTTACTCGACGGAGGAGCGACCTCCGAGGCACCTCATGGGGGACAACAGCAGGTAACCTAAGTGAAGCCGTGCCCTTCCCCCTGCCAAGGTGAAACGGAGGCGAGGTAACGTCTACCCAAGCCTGACACTAATCGTGTACCGTGACGTTACTCTTACTCTTTCGTCAATTCTGATTGGCTAGAGTTGGTAATTTATTTTCAAACTAAAGAACCAGACGGTGAACAAAATGCTTTTATCGTCAACTTTTCAGACAACAGCGATCTACGACGAGGTTTTACGGCAAGTTTGCGCGACGTTAGGGATAGAGACATTCAAGAAGAACAGCAGAAAGCCATGGATATGTTTTTCGAAGGTAACGGTGTCTCCATTTCGTTACCAACTGGCTTTGGAAAATCTTTTATACATTATGCAGCGCCAGTTATCGATCGCCTCTCTTCTCCGAAGAAACCGGTCGCTATATTTATTGTGCCACCCTTTAAAGCTCTCATGGAAGACCAGGCGCACTATCTTAATGTACTTGGGTCAAGATGATTGTCCGCCTTCAACCCTCGGTCTCTTTTGCGAACGGTGCTGCGAAGCTATCAAAACCGTGTCCGGCTGCCGGACGTTTAGTCACTTAAATTAAAGCTTGTTGTTTCTTTCAGCGATTCTTTTGACTGAGAAAAGAGTCGCTCTTTCTTCACGCTTGCAGGGTAATTATCTCTATAAGAAATCTATAAAAACCATGAGACTCTGCTACAAACGATCCAACTTTTTTGACCGTGGCACTGTTCACAAATGCAAGCAGAAACCGCGTGGACTTTCAAAGGCACGATGCTAATTGAACATCGTCGTCTTCTTACTCTGTACAAAAATACGCTCTTAATCTTTTCCTATATCCTTAAAGCAAAATATATATTTTCAATCGGACGCTGAATTGCAAATTTATTGGAAAAAATGAGGATGAATTCACTACAGTCTTGTTGTTTATCTCTTACTTCGCAATAAAATATTATCAAATGACATTATTTTGCATAAATTAGAGTGACGTCACGGAACACGATTAGTGACAGGTTTGCGTAGACGTTCCCTCGCTTCCGTTTCACCTTGTGTGTGTGTGGAGGGGGGGGGGGGGAACGACTACACGTAGGCTAAACATCAGGCTCCACCGACATTGGTTCGCTCATAAAAGGTTTGTACATTTACGGGCCCTCTGGTCAGGGGGCCCACACCTCTTACACTTCTTTTTTTTCCCTTTTTTTTGTTTTTAATTTTATTACAAAAAAAATAATGATATATTTTTTTGGTAAATTATTTTTTATTTTTGTGTTTATATTTACGATATTTGTCAACAATAATAGCTTTTTGGCAATAGCAATCCTAGGCCACCATAGTGTAGTATCGTTGAGTAATTTTTTTACTCTTTGTTTATATTTTGACGAGCTCTTTTGCAAAGAGTAAAAAATACTCAGTGATGCTACACACTAAAACATCTAATAAGGATATTTAGTGTGTTGCACAGGTTTTCTTTCTGGACCGGGATTCTTAAGCACCTCGCGTGGTTCGTAACAATTATTTCAATTCTAATTGTAAAAATTCAGTCTTGATGCTATGTACTCATACTCGACAAGGTCGATGTACAACAATGCATACGATTTGTCTTCTTGACAAGGGTAGCAAATTAAAGGGGATTTTTTCTTAGGGTATGGGTCTGAAGGTCTAAACTAAAGGAAAATATTTGAGCTCGTCACTTGCAAAAGTTCTTTAAGTATGGTCTTCTCTATAAAGGACTTTTCGCTCGTTGTCGATGAATGATACCAAATCTGTTGCGAATTTCAAGATGTCGTTTACAATGGCAAAGCAGGAGTCACACTTGACAAAGTCATCGCTGCTCTTGCAACCATCTACGCCTGCAGTGAATTTTGATGTTTTAACTTACTCCCTACTTATCATTTGCCAGAAAATTGTTTTCCCTATCTGACAAATGTTTTATTATCGTGTTTAACCGTCAGCGTATTTGCTGTTTTTCAAGGAGATACTGTTTGACTACAAAAATTAAAGCAGATTAATATATCTACAACCTTCCGGTAGGTGGGTTAGGAAATAGATAGTAACACTGGCTTTTTGTGGTGGCTGGGAAAGAAGAAGGGGGACATTGACATTGACATTGTAGGCTAAACAGAGACGTCCTTTGAGATGTCACGCAAAGTCGATGGACGCTTGAGCGAGATCCGGGAGAGCCTGGGTGTCACGCAAGACAGGTTGAAACTTATAACGCTTTCCAGATCAAAAACATCACGTGCATCATAAATCAGACTTCAGTTATAGCAAAAGCATCATGGCTTCGTACGCGCAGGACGGACTGTGGTCGTGGCTGGTTTGCGCTTCTGCAACTCTCTCATGGCTGGCCGCCTTAGGCTTTGTGTTCAGTTTTGGAATTTTCTTTCCTGTCTTTATGGATTATTTTCAAGAGAGCAGAGAAAAAACGGGTAATTTGTACTGTTAAACGACATGATTCTGTAGGACAACATCTGACCTAGATTTGCTAGTTGGTCAGCCGGTGCAAGCGGAAAGCTTGAAAATCGGCGTAGATGGCTACGAAGGAAAACGAAAAAGAAAAATGATTTAATTTGAATTGAATCTCTTACGTATTGAGGCTAAATTATGTAAATCGAACCACTTCGATTTGCAACCTGTTGAGCTGATTTCAGTTTAGGTGTTCGGCGACATTACTTACGTAGGTGACTAAATTCCACTCCAGCGAGCGCAGCTAACAATTTTTGCGGCGCTGCTGTTTTGTAATCGAATTCGTATCTCAAACGTGGGCTATCTCTTTTCGAGAACAGAGGCATGTTTTTATTGAAAAATCGGATGTCTGCCAGTGCTATGAAATTTTTAAATATCTCAATCAAAATCTAGTATCCCCGGGAAAAAATTTTATTAAAAGAGGGATCAAGCGACCTGAGAGTAGAGTAACAGCAAATATTTACTGAACGGGATAATTGCCAAGCGATTGTATTTTCTCTTCACTACAGTTGAGTCAACTGTTCGGTGCCGGTTAGTGTCCCCGAGGCCGCCATCGGGTATAATAAATTATCCCCGTCATTTCTTTTGTTAGTCTCGGAGCGTAATATGCTATTCAGGGGTACATTTTTGTTGATTCAGAAATTTTGTTGACAGCGGATACCGAATGCTAAAAATAATCGATTACAGATCAGTTTGTGACAAGCATTCACGATTTTGTGTCACGCAACAGCGTCACACGTTCTCAAGGTGTGACCATCTAGCCAAATGTTTGAGCGTGACTTTGGGAGACAAGCTATGCCAGCTTTTTCGGTTTAACCGTTTAGCGTTTCGTTACTTACCTCTAAAAAGCTCTTTTTTTATTTCACTCTCTAACCATAATTTTCTCTTTGATTAGGAGTTTTCTATCATTTTGTATAGAGTAGTCAGCGATAAACGCGTAGGATTTTATTTGAGGAAGCTTCGTCACAAGTTAACCCTTAACGCCCCCCCTCCCAGAAGATTGTTGAGCAACTAATTTCTCCTGACAATATCACCCCTGAATCAAACATTAAGGTCACCAGAATAAAGGAAATGATTAAGAGCTTCTCTAGAATCTAGAGAAGCTCTTGATTTTTTGACAAATTCTCCCTGTCAGTACCTTAGGAAACGTATAGAGAACAGTATGGAGAATATGCATACTGATGTCAGGGTGTAGAGGGTTAAGAGACAGTAGAATCTGAATACAGTGGAGAAGGAGAAATTTACTCAATAACTCTGTTCAGCAGAAATAGTTTCTTGACCACATTGGTGGAGGGATCATGAAAAATCCCACCGTCAATATAGGGGGATTAAAAAAAAAAAAAAGGACATGAAATATCTCAAGGGGGAGGGGGGGGTGATCATCACGTAAATTTCCCGTTTTCTCAACAAAAATCCTCCTCTCACCACCCCCACCCCTTTCTCCTTTCCCGACGATAAATAATAAGCAGACCCTTAGGAGAAGTATCTATTTTCCCAAGAGAATATAATCTCTTGTTTCCCCAATATCCCTTGACTGTTGTCATCTTTTTTCGCAAATTCTCTCTCAGTTTAGAAAACTTGAATTGAGCTAACCAGCGAAACAGTCGCTGACATTATAGGCTAAACAGAGACGTTCTTTGAGATGTCACGCAAAGTCGATGGACGCTTGAGAGAGATCCGGGAGAGCCTGGGTGTCACACAAGACAGGTTAAAACTTATAACGCTTTCCAGATCAAAAACATCACGTGCATCATAAATCAGACTTCAGTTATAGTAAAAGCATCATGGCTTCGTACGCGCGGGATGGTCTGTGGTCGTGGCTGGTTTGCGCTTCTGCAACTTTCTCATGGCTTGCTGCCTTAGGCTTTGTGTTCAGTTTTGGAATTTTCTTTCCTGTCTTTATGGATTATTTTCAAGAGAGCAGAGAGAAAACGGGTAATGTAATTTGTACTCTTAAACGACATGATTCTGTAGGGCAACATCTGACCTAGATTTGCTAGTTGGTCAGCCGGTGCAAGCGGAAAACTTAAAAATCGGCATAGATGGCTACGAAGGAAAACGAAAAAGAAAAATGATTTGATTTAAACTGAATCTTTTACGTATTGAGGCCAAATTATGTAAATCGAACCAGGTCGATCTGCAACCTGTTGAGCTGATTTCAATTTAGGTGTTTGGCGACATTACTTACGTAGGTGACTAAACTCCACTCCAGCGAGCGCAGCTAACAATTTTTGCGGCGTTGCTGTTTTGTGATAGAATTCGTATCTCAAACGTGGGCTATCTCTTTTTGAGAACAGAGGCATGATTTTATGGAAAAACTTTGTTAAAAGAGGGATCAAGCGACCTGAGAGTAGAGTAACAGCAAATATTTACTGAACGGGATAATTGCCAAGCGATTGTATTTTCTCTTCACTACAGTCGAGTCAACTGTTCGGTGCCGGTTGGTGTCCCTGAAGCCGCCATCGGGTATAATAAATTATCCCCGTCATTTCTTTTGTTAGTCTCGGAGCGTAATATGCTATTCAGGGGTACATTTTGTTGATTCAGAAATTTTGTTGACAGCGGATGCCGAATGCTAAAAATAATCGATTACAGATCAGTTTGTGACAAGCATTCATAATTTTGTGTCACGCAACAGAGTCGCACGTTCTCAAGGTGTGACCATTTAGCCAAAGGTTTGAGCGTGGCTTTGGGAGACAAGCTATGCCAGCTTTTTCGGTTTAACCGTATAGCGTTTCATTACTTACCTCTTAAAAACTCTTTTTTTATTTATTCTCTAACCATCATTTGCTCTTTGATTAGGAGTTTTCTGTCATTTTGTATAGAGTAGTCAGCGATAAACGCGTAGGATTTTATTTGAGGAAGCTTCGTCACAAGTTAACCCTTAACCCCCCCCCCCTCCCAGAGGATTGTTTAGCAACTAATTTCTCCTGACAATATCACCCCTGAATCAAACATTAAGGTCACCAGAATAAAGGAAATGATTAAGAGCTTCTCTAGAATCTAGAGAAGCTCTTGATTTTTTGACAAATTCTCCCTGTCAGTACCTTAAGAAATGTATAGAGAACAGTATGGAGAATATGCATACTGCTGTCAGGGTGTAGAGGGTTAAGAGACAGTAGAATCTGAATGCAGCGGAGAAGGAGAAATTTAGTGAGTAGCTCTGTTTAGCAGAAATAGTTTCGTGGCTACATAGACAGCTCAAGTTAGAAACCATGGGGACCCATAGGATACGTTGGTAAATCACAAGCCCACATTAATCGAGTTAGTTTCTTGCATTGCCTTGTGATTTGCTCTTTGACAAACTTCTTCTCTCTGTTAATTTTTAGCTTGGGTAGGTTCGCTGGCCATCGCGATAATCTTTTTCAGTGGGCATGCGTCGGGAGCTCTCATCAGTAAATTTGGCTGCCGTGTCACTGCTCTACTCGGGGCATTTTTGTGCGCCCTAAGTCTCGGTGTCTCCTCCCTGGCGAAAAACATTCTCGTTTTGTATTTCACTTATAGTGTGCTGTATGGCCTGGGTACTAGCTTTGTGTTCTCATCGGGCATCAACATCATTAGCAAGTACTTCAAAAAGAGGCGCTCATTGGCAATGGGGATTTTGACGTGTGGACAAGGGGCAGGAGTTTTGATCATGGCACCCGTTTTACAGATGATGATTGACGCATATGATTGGAAGACAACCTACCGAATAATGGCAGGCGTGATTTTCTTGATGTGTCTAACAGCACTTACCTACAGTCCTAACGTAGAAGGTGAAGATACTGAAGGAACACCGGCGGAGGAAGAAGACAAGGAAAAAGGATGTTACATTGATGTATCAGTGTGGAAAGAGCCCAAAGTTTTGGTCCTTATTTTGTCTTCAACTATAATTATGTTTGGACACTATACACCGCAGATTCACCTGGTAAGTTTACAGTTCAACAACCATAAACACTCTAGTAAGCCCAAGTTGGGCGGGAGGGGGGGGATGGGGGTATTAATTCCAGGGCTTCCAATAATTCTAGGGTGGTTATTAGAGGAGAGAGGGTGGAAGGAGGGGGGGGGGGGTCAGGGGTTTTTAAGAAAATATACTTGTATCGAAACACAACTATATTTTGAACTGAAACGTTACCAAGCCCGAATGAAATTTTTTGGTTTGCCTTTTTTCCTTTTAAGGGGAGGGGGTTCGTTTGGGGAAGGAGGGGGAGGCTAATGATAAATTTTAGGCTAGGAGGGAGGTTTTAATCAATGAGGCACGGGGCATGAATGACACCAACGATATCTCTGATACTATCTCGTTACTGAAATTATATAAGTTTTATTTTGTTAAAAAAAAAGCCCAAAATGGACTAAATGAGACTGGATGCCTGTCTATGTTGATTCTTAGGTGCGATATTGTGAAGATATTGGAATCACTGCTGACGCGGCCTCTCGACTATTTGTTTATTATGGGCTGTCATCGTGCGCAGGGAGACTGGTATCTGGTCGTCTTTGTGACTTCAAAATGATCAACACATTCTTTGTGTATCAGATTGCCGAGATGGTCGCTGGAATGTCGATTCTATTTGTAACAATGGCAACGTCATATGTTCACATGATAGTGTTCATTGTAATTTTTGGATTCTGCGACGGAGCTTATATTACAACACTTAATCTCATCGCCATTACATGCACTAGCCCCGATAAAATAGCCCTTGCGCTTGCATGGCAAATGCAAATGAGTTCGTTTACTACGGCCAGCGGTCCTCCCATAGTGGGTAAGTCAATGTTTTTTCTGCCGCTGATTCTTAAGCAAGCCCGTGAAAACTGAAGTGGCCTGAAGGTAACCGTAAACTATGAAACTAAACGTCAAGATTATGCTCCTCGTGAAAATTGAACTGACCTGGAGGTACCTGTTAACCATGAAACGAAACATCAAGATTATGCTCCTCATGATGCTTGGAAGTCTCCTTAAATTTTTACTTCCTGAGGGGGATCTTGGGGTTTTTCAAAGGGAATTGGGAGGGGGGGACATTCGGTGCCAACAGGGTGTAAAGGGGGTCTAGACAAACTAGGGAAGACAGGGGGTTCATGAGAATATTACAGAGCCCTATGGGAAGATCAGGTAAATTTATCATCACACAACAAAAATCCTCCAATTCCCTCCCCCCTCCCACGCATACACACCCACACCCACACCCACACCCACACCCACCCAGGCGATTAGTGAGCACGGTCCCATCATCTGCTCAGGGTAGGGTGAGAAGATGAAAGAATGAACAGGTTACTTTCGTAGAAAAAGTAATCAAATTTGTTTTCCTTCAAACAGGTCTGGTGGCAGACACAATGGGCTCATATACGCCAGCGTTTTATATGGCTGGTGGAGCAGTGCTCGCGGGCGCTTGCATTCCTTTTTTCCTTCTCTGTAGGAAAGAGAGAAGCGCGTCACGTGATCTTTGGACCACGTTGGGCCCAACTGCAGAATCGACAGATGTACCTGATTGGAGGAAATCTGTTGTCTACACGGTTGACAAAAAAGCATCGATTCGTGATCCTAACTAAAGACCGAATTCCTTTAAAATGAATCAGGCAACATGAATATGAATGCAGACAGAATATGGCGACACAAAGTCGTGTTACCATCAGATCAAAATTGTGAAAAACTTGAGTTATGAAATATCTAATGGTCAAACATGTTATTGAATAAAAACATAAAAGTTTAATTTTTTTAAACCAGAAATTGAACTGAGTAGTCCACATAGGAGCGCACGCAATGACGAGCTTGACGCCAAGTTTGTGCGGTGCATGAAGTATGTGAAGCGACTCCCCCTGAATGCTGTTCCATCGCTTTTTACCGCCCAGCGTTTCGTCTGATTACCTTAACAGTTCGCCGGTACTGGTTTAAACTCCTGGGTAGGGAGTGTTGAGTGTCTTGCTGAAGAAATTAACGCAACTACTCAACCAGGTCTCGAACCCAGATCTCTCGCTAACGTTCGACCACCGTGCCATGTAAACTATTTTATTATAATGTTCAATTACAAAGGCAAGGCGTACATTTTGCTATTAGTGCTCAACTTGGGCTGATGATTGCCAATCACACCCGTAAACTTTTTTTACAGTTTTTTATTATTTGTTCATTTCTGCAGCTGCGTGAATTCGTTTTAATTTATGAGGATATGGCTACATAAAATTAAAACATATGAGTCAGCTTCTTGATGGTGTTGTCTACGAAAAATTCTGACGTGCGCGCGGGCTCACTTCATCATGACGACACAGTGCTTGACATTGATCAGATCTCGCGTGTCACGGCTAATTAAGTGACGACGAGGAGAGGAACTTTCTTCGTCATTTTTCTCTTTCTGTACATCTCTCTATCTACTGGAGCCTCTCGTAAGCAGCAATTTACTCTTTTGATATATTTTCTGATAACTCTTTTTGCTTTCCGCAAAAGTTCTAAAAGTTGCAAAAGTTGGTTTCTTTTGCTGAATTTCTAGTCTGTGGCTTTGCACTCGGAGTGCGCCGGGGGAGTGGGGAACATGATTCCAGATAATAAAATGAGTGCCTCGAGCGAAGACCAGAGCCATCCCGCAAAGAATGGCCGACTTGAGGATAGGGGTTGGTCTCCAGATGAACACAACAACCACGATAAGTTTTCATATCTGTATCTTGTTTGTGGATTTAAAATCTGAGGTTGTTTCGACGTGAGGCCACGCCCCGCCTGGTTAACAATATACAGGGTCCAGGTATCACCTGAGAAGGACTTTCGGAACGACTGGAATTCCATAAGGTTTGGTTTTTGCCTATGTCTTATTTACTTAAGTTTCCCTTTTTTTTCACTTAAATATGCCTAATTGTGGAGATCGAGTTTGACAAAGACAAGTAGAACTACTGACCTCCCAACTATGATATTTCAACGTATGCTTTCTTTTTTTTTTTTTTGCCGTGGCCGGAATTATCTGGAGGCACATCAGCCAGTGCTTTGATCTCCGAAGTGAAAGAACGAAAATTTGGGCAATATGTCAGGATATTTCCAGTGTCTTTCGTGATTAAGATATGCATGAAGGTAGAAATCCATGGATATCCTTACGTATGTAAGTATTCCATTTTATTATTTTTTTTCGATGATAGAAACTCCGTGTGCGATCGTATAATGTGAACGCACATTACAATGACACGCTCAGCAATAGGCAGTAAGTGAAATGACACGGCGGCTTCTGAGCAGCGGCGTGTCCGATGGCACGACTAATAAAAATTTTCCTTTTGTTTATGTGGCTCGATAGGAACAAAGGCGCGTGCCAAGAAGAACCTTATACCATGTTTGTCGTATGTAATGAATCCCAGAATTCCTAATATTATGGCCATTCCAGAATTTAGAAACACTTATTCTTGTTCCAGAAACAGCAAAAGATTCCATTTCGTTTTTCTAAATTTCAATGACAACTCTTCGTAGTCTTTTTGATCAAATTAACCAACCACGTCAAAGAACCTAATCCTTGACATTGGAAAACTTTCGCGTACTTTTTAGTTTGTTTTCGCGGAGTTTTAGTCAGTTATTTTTTTCAGCTTTCGTTCGCGTAAATTTGTTCTCCTTTGTTTGGAATTTAAAGAAGTTTCGAAGTTTCTATTTTAGCCAAATGTTGTGGTTCATTAAATAAGGTTAATACATATTTTCTGCGGAGTTTGGACTCAAGTCTCTTTCATCGTAAATGGATTTGTTACATGGTGCTGAGACCCGGGAATATTGACTCACTGAAATGGCTGATGAAGAATTGAAAAAGAAGAGAAAGATCCGAGGAGGACATAAAGGATACGTTACGACGACTCTGGAAAAGGAACCTCCTCTGGCGAATCAATTGAAAGCTTATCGGATTGCTCTTACGGAAAAACTCAATGTCCTTGGAGCCCTGGGCGACGAAATTCTGGCTTTAATGACAGAAAAGCACATCGAAGATGAAATCAAGGAAACTGGAAACTTCAGAGAATCTATTCATCAAATGATAGTGGAAATTGACAAATTTCTCAACGCAGTTGATCTGGAAAAGGCCGGAAACACAGATAAGTCAATTCCTCTCTCTAATTCTAATTCGTTTACTGAAAGTCTTGGAATCGGAAAGGCAAAACTGCCGAAGATCAATCTCAAGAAATTCTATGTGATCCCATTTCCTTCAATCCTCTCTGGGACTCATTTGCAGTTCATCAGATGTTGACAAATTCAATTATTTGAGAAATTTGTTAAAAGGGCCAGCCGCAGGAGCCATTCGAGGGCTACCGCTTACAGCAGAAAATTACGAGTCAGTTAAGGCCATTCTAAAGAAACGATTTGGGCAACCCCAAATATTTTCTAATCATTAATGCTCATATGGAGGGATTAGTGAAAGTATCAGCTGTAAGTGAGGACAATGATTTAAGACGTCTTCGCCTTCTTTATGATCGAGTTGAAGCACACGTTCGAGCTTTATAAGCCCTGGGAATAAACTCTGAATCGTATGTGTTACCCCAAACAGAGAGCTAACACATATGCATGAAAAACAGCTTAAAAACAACTCCAAAGTGTTGAACAAACAACAAAAGTACGCGAAAATGTCCACGTCAGTCTTCAATGTCAAGGTTAGAGTTCTTTGGCCGTATTGACTTATTTTGTGAAATCACTCGCGCCGCGCGTGAATACAAACATAATACCAGGGGGGGGGGGGGGGGGGGAGGAAAAGAAAAGTTTCAATTTAAAATTTTAAACGAAAGATATTTCCTTCAGTGTTCATCCACAAATAACGTAGAAATGCTTATTTACAATCAAAGTTTCTTTCACAGGAGGCGGCCGTTCTTGCTCAAATAACTGCATACATTTGTATGTCACCTTTGATTTACCAGTGGAATCTTATCTGAGTAACTATCTTTTCATTGCGTGGTTAACTATGGTGATCACGATTATCAACCTTTACTCGGTATCGCAGCGTGAGCGTGTTGTGAGCGTGCTCTGAAACGTTGTAAGACTGCGTATGAGCAATCATGTCTTTAACATTCCTGTTAAAGGATTACGTTATTCATCGAATGACACAGGCAAACTCGTCGATCTTACGATCTTTCGATTACTATTCATCAGTACGTTGTCGTTTTGCAGAAGCATAACGTATCGACATTCCTATCGTAGCGGTATTCAAGAAGGTTGTCTTCTTGGACCTAGGTAAACGACCTAACTTGCCACGATTCTCCTACAGCTCAGTGGTAGAGCATACGAAGTATTTTCCGGAAGATCGACCCCTATTGGAATATCTATATCCCAAGTTCGACCCCTATTGGAAGCACTGGGAGTTCTTTTCTTCCGAGCATGTCTGTGCCAATCTCTGAATAACATTATCTTTCATTTAAAGATCACCGGACTTAAAATTTAACATCTTCATTTACATCATCATCGCCATTCCTCCAGATCATCTTTCAGCGATTTGAACTTTATCATACTTACAGGAAAGCCTTTAAAGCACCTCAACGTCTTCCGGGTCAAAAGCAATTGTTGATCAATTGGACACTTTTAATTATTGCTTTTATTCAAGCTTTCGACGGTGGTCAGCCGGCAAAACGAAATATATTAATGAAAAATGGCAACCTTAAACCTTAATGAGAGATGGAACATTGAATTGTGCTTTCATGGTAAAATCAATTATTCGCATAGACAAAATAAGTTGTCGCGTCATCAGTGCATCAAATCATACTAATGTTTTATTCAAGACACCTTATGCAGTTTCTTTTTATATAGGGTTTCGTAACAAAACAAAAAATTTAAGATTATTTTGATATTAGATGTAATTGACCTAAATTATTAAAAGAGAAAGAGAGAGAGTATGCCAGGAGTATGAGTTCCTAACTACGGAATTATTATTATTCGCGAAAATTGAACTCCTTTACCATTTTTTTTGGCTTATAACAAGTGGCACTCGACCAAGCATGTAGATTTCGGCGGTCCGAGACTATTTCCCTCTGTCTGTTTCCCTCACAACTATTCTGATAATCAGTCTTTGACACACTTTAACTGAAAACACATTGTATACACGGTGGAGTTATCTATAATTAAAAAAAAAGAATTTCTTTTTGAGTTGTCAATTAACGATTTGCTTTAAACTAACGTTAGCGTTTTTCACTTACTATGTCAGTTATCAGTTTTCCTTTAATGGATCGGATTAGTTACAAATAAGATCTGGGAGTCGTCTTTCCTTTGCGTCCTCTTCTACCAATCTTACTTGTGACATTCCAAAAAGCTACTTGGCTGGCTCTAAAGCGTTGCTTCAGCCTCGGTTTCACGTCGAGGGCTACGTAAAACTGCTCGTCTTTGGTAAATTGTCGCCATGTGATTTTCGAAGAACCGGGAGGAGTAGGAGATCTGAAAAGGAAAAATAACCTATTAAGTAATAGCTATGCTGTGTGCGGAAAAGACCGTTTGATTCTAAGCGACGCGTGGCGAGAGAGGCCGTGATTCTCCTAGAAGTTGGCCCCATTCCGATCCCTAAATTCAAAATTTTTGAAGGAAGAAGTGGAAACTAAGGAACACTCTAATCAGTTCTTACCCAAATTTGGCAAAATCCGTCCACAGTTTCATCATGTATAGGCTGAATCCCTTTTCGATTTCGGAAAATCTGGGCGTGAAATAGTCGATTAAAGAGGAAAGCTTCTTAAATGGTGCTCCGAACACAAAAGAGACATCCATCCCGCGAACTGTCCCAGCCCATGCCGGGAACTGCGTAAAGTCCGGACGATGCTCAAATACGTAGAGGTAGGTTCTCTCTCTCGTCTAAAATGCAAGATATAAAATAAAAACAGCATATTATTAATTACTTATAATTTGTGCTTTGACATAGGGACGATACTATTCACTGATAAAAAAGAGTTGGAGCGAGTTGGTAAGAATTTCTTTAAAATCCAAAGCACATGCAATTACATGCATACCACCTAAGTTTGGCATTTGTCTCTTTAAATTTATCTTCAAATTGGTAAAAAAGTCAGAAAAAACGAGCAACAACCTCAAGTTGCGTGTTTGAATTAAGTCAATCGAGCTATGTTTGTTTTACCTCCGCTAAAGCACTGGCCTCAAACATTGCCGGCGCTAGATATTTAAAGTCGCTTTCAAACTCCAGCATCATTTCCCTGATGGCAGTTTTGTTGCTAGGATCATTATGGTCTGTGTATCGATACTTGACCAGCTCTTCTATAACTCTATGTCGATCTCTGTTTTGCCATAGACCAAGTGAACGTTTTATGGTAAATTCAAACTCATTTGTGTCGACATGGGCGAGATTTCCCGCCTCTAGGACCAAATCAAGAGCTCCTTCGTGTGAAGTAAGCCCTATCATGACGTTAACACTTTTGTCAGGAAATCGTCTTTCTTTGAAAAGCTTCTGGGGAAATTCAGGAAGGAATTCTCCATCTGGAACAGGCGTGGTAATTTCTGCTGATATCTCAGTGGGGAAAAGCGATGAAAACCTTGTTTGAGTATCAATAATTTCCGCCGGGCTTTTGCTCCGTAAACAACGAGTGAGTTCCATGTCTGGCCCGCATTTAGCGACTTTCTTCAATTCCTTCAAGGTGTGAGTGCTTGCCCCATTACCTCTAAGTATAGGTGACGTAGCAAAGCCGCTCTGAATTATGGCTCCTTGAAACAATCCTTTGGACAACGGAGAAATAAGATGAAGGGAGACACTAATTCCCCCAGCACCCTCACCAAATATGGTCACTTTGTTGGGATCTCCACCAAAACTTGCAATGTTTTTATTGACCCATTGCAATACCATCACCTGCAGATGTGAGACAAAGTAGTTCTTAGATATTTTTGTTCGTTGGTTAACTACGTTTTACTCAAGAAGAATGGATCTTGAAGTTTTTGACGAAGAAAAAAGAGAGTCAAGTTTAATTCTTTATTTTTTGTGTATATAGTTTGTAATTTAATTGCTAAGTGTTTTGTATGATAACACTGTCTTCTTTACAATACATTTTTACAATGCGTTACCGCACGGTTAGATCCGTATACCTGATCTTGCATTCCATAATTTCCCTTTAAGTCCGTGCCAGGGATGTTCAGGAATCCTAATATTCCAAGCCTGTAGTTAAAAGTTACCACGATCACGTCGTTCAATGAAGCCAAGATATGGGCCGGATAATGAGCCGAGGAACCGAATGTGAAGTTGTGGCCTTGAATCCAAACCATGACTGCTTTCCTGTCGCGGGCTTTTGTAGTGGATGCCGGTAAAAAAACATTCAGGTAAAGGCAATCTTCGTCCACTATGAGAAAGGGAAGTGTTTAAGCAAGAGTTAACAGTCACTTCGAACAAATATATGTTTATCAGAAATCGTAGAACGCTTTCAATTGATCTAATTTCCCTCCAGTGCTTTCCTGATAGCACTGGAGGTGTTTTTTGCTCTGTTGCTATACATATTATTTTATATGAAAGCGTCATGCCTTACCTTCTCCAACTCTGACATTAGGTATTGGAAAATCTGGCTGAGGGCATGCAGCTTTGTAGTCTGTCGCTTGTCTGATCCCTGTCCATGGTTTGGCCTGGTTTGGAGCAGCAAACCTCAATTCATTCACAGGAGGCTCGGCAAATGGGATCCCAAGATAAGTGAGGACTGATTTGCCAAGTGGGAGGCTTTCAATCTTGCCGACAATTTTTCCAGACTCTATCTGCACGACGGTTGAGTTTTCAAAGCCTCTAACCTGCAAACGTGGATCAAAGAGATAGATTCTAAATGGTATTATTGAGGGACGACGAACATATGAAGAAAGCTACTAATGATGATCCGGATGTTGTGTTGATTAAATAACAAGCTTCAAATCAGCCACATGATGAATTTAATAAAAAAAGGTCAATCCATTGAAGCCTGAATCCAGAAAAACTCACCAGTTCTGTGAAAGTTTGATTAGAGTTAGACTTGATGCGATTTGTCCCTGAAACAAAAAAAAAGTCCTGAGTGAATAACTCACTTCTCCTTAAACAGCGCCACCTGTGGAACGTTTCAAGCATATCATCCCGAGTGCCATTCGTTCAAACCCATCAATGAAAAATATTTTGACATACCCAAGTTCAGTACGTTGTTCATACACAATTTGCTATATATGTCGAGCACGGTTTCTGAAATAAACACCCATTGTATGTCTTCCAGGTCAATTTGCCGCGTCTCTTGCGTGATATCTGTTCATATTTACCTACTATATACCATTTTTACACTGAAGCAATGTCCTTAATGAGTACATGGCTGAATTAAAGGAAGTTAGAGCTTTTCATAAGATTCGCTAACAGTCCTAATATCTAACCTTCGGGTATTTCTTCTCTCAGGCGAATCTTGAGCGTGAAGTGCTCTTGCCGCTCACCTCTCCAGCGAATCACAATTTTCATCTCAAGGCCATCATCTCCTCCTTTTATTCCTTTAAGCATCACGGCATTACTATTCAGAATAAATCTGTCTCGAAACCCCGGCCAGCTATGATCTAGTACTTTGCATTGCGTACTTGTGCAATACGCAATTGCTTCCTTTGCATCTGGCATACTTCTGATATAAAGGTCCTCTACTCGTGTCCATTGCCGCACCATCTTGATTAAGTGGTGAGTCAGGTTCACATCGCTTCCCTCTTGGGCCCAGATACCTGGAATGAAAAGATTAGTAAATAAAGTCGTTTTGCAGACAAACGACAGACTGGAAGCTGGATGATTATAAGGGAAATCTAAAAGCCATTCCTGTCCTTGCTATCACACTCGGGTGGAGATACATTCTTTATCATATCCTTCGTAGACTGTAGAGTAATGTACTTATCATTTTTGTCTCTTGGGGCTTGTTTTGCGTATTGAAGACGTCCTTTTTTCGATTGCTGTCCGCCAACGTTCATTTATTCAGCAGGCATGACCAGTATGCTACCACTAGATAAAATGTTACCTGATCGAATTAGTTGCTCTAGCGCACGGAGATAAATGAAAAAAGACTTACATTTGGTGGAAAGATCAATCACAACTGGGTTATTAGTGGTTCGACTTCCATATTCGACCTCGCATGTAAAGGTCACGTTTCTCTTCTTTGCCTCTCGTGTTGACCGTTTTATGATGAGACTTTCTTTGGATACTCCTTTAACAATTATTCCGTCAAACTCCTGTGAATGACTCAGAAGAGTACATTTCTGGGAATTGTTGCAATAAGCAATCTCAATAAATTTCAAGCTGTTAGAATCCCAAACTTTCCATTTGATGTATTCATTCGAAGATTTCAGTTCTCTACATTCCAGACGTAACGTCTCGTTGGGACACATATGCTTTTTCGGTATTTCACCTAAAGAAAAATGATCAAACTTGTTAAATTCACGTTGATCTCTATTCTTTCCTAGGGGCACTCTAAATTTTTTTTGGTACTGAGAGGTGGTTGTCTCTGGTGTAAAAAAAACTTCCATCGGCCGACCAAGCTTATTATAAATAAAAGTGTACATTTTAAACCACAATAAACCTGTTGTCCCTGTTGTTAATCGCTTTTTCCCGTTTAGAGTTTGAATTTTAGTTTTGAGGCAAATTATATACAAACGAACTTCACTGACTGCAGGAAAAGCCCTAAGTAGTTAAGGATGGATGGCTTTTTCTGGGACTCATTTACAGCACAAAGGGAGATAGTACATTCAAAATTGCATTTTATTTGTCATACCTGAAAAGTTTACCTTTCACCGTGAAATTTTGAGCTCAGGGTCAATTTATTCGATAGTCCGAGTCTTATTTCGTCAACTTATCATTGGTTTATTGATGCAAAACGGCATTGAAAATACAACGCCGTGATTTTGATGACTTCCTATTTTGTAGAGCACAATGCAGTCAAAATAGTTTTTTTTCAGTCAAATCGGGAATTTGCCTTGTATTGTTTTCTCTTGTTGAGTGACGACACGTTTGCAAATTAGTAGTGCTCTAACCTTGGACAGTAAACACAAAGCCCTGCAGTTGACCTGTAAAAGGAAGTTTATCTGCGTAAGTCTCAATGTATTATTTTCATATCAAATTACACACGTAAGGGAAGAGATAATAACTGAACGGAAAAACTGGACAGATACTCGAGGACTCCCGGGATTTGTGGAAACCGAAAATACTGAAATGAGGAATATTATCACAGTTGCATGTATCCATTTCATTGGCTGGTTTTAACTAAAGGAAGTTGCTAAAGTGAAAGTGCTTACTATGCAGAAAGTGACTTAGGAAATGACTCGTTCACAATCAAAGCTGGGGAATTTAGAAGCCCCTCTACAATTTTTCAAAATCATTTGAGTCTAAGATTTCGTAGCTGAGAATCATGAAATGCTCACAATCAAAGCATTTCTTTGTTGGTCGACGAGAAAGAAATACTCGATCTAACGGCTTGTGTTGGCGAGATTCGAATATATGCTTCGGTTTCGCTTTGTCAAGACTTTTATCAATTTGAAGTTTAATGTAAGAAGAATTTGAGCTAAAGAAGATGTTTTCGATATCGTAAGACTTAGTGAGAATGCTGATCCTCGAATTAAGCAGCGATGTAAACAAATTAGATTATTAAGCTACAAAAGTCATCACGTATGAACTGATTGATAGTCGTGTTCATTGATCTGTAGATTTCTTCCTGTGATTTCGTAAAACCCCTATGAACATCACAGGTTTTTTCCCCCAGGAAAGGAGGCACATTCGTTTACATGTAATATTTTTTTTTCCTACAAACAGTTTCACTTACGTTGATCCACCAAAAGTTAAAATTGTTTGAATCCGTGCAATAAAAAAAGCCTGATGTGGGTGACTTGTGGGCTCAGTCGCGCAAAACGTTCTTGCCAAACAACTAGCATTTTAAGGGAATTTTACCGAAAAGGACAAAGGAATCAGAAAGAATGAAATTTGAATACATAATTTTCGAAAAAGACTAATACAAATTGAAAGATCTTTTCAACTTTTTTTTCCTGTTTATGTATAGTTATTAGAAAAATCTGAAATCTTTATAAACTTTTCTGAGCTCTCCCTTCATTGTTATTTGAAAACATGGCTTCGACTGTTATTATTTTTCACTTTGTGAGCACATTTTGAAAAGTGAGATTCACCACTCAAAAAGATGACTGGGATGATGAGCAATTAAAAGACTCACCTTAACTCAGTCTAAATGAGCGCACGCCACTGCACAAGAGACACAGACATATTGTGACGGAAAAAAATGACTCTCCTTATTTAATCAATACGGTCTCATTTGAGTGCCGAAGCATTTAAAAAACAATTCATATTCTTTCAACTCACCTAGGGTAAGCAAAATCAACAAAGCAGTGAAGGAAGACATGTTTTGATTCACGCAAGAAGTTTCGCTTGAAGTTTAGTGAACACCTGTCTGTTGGAGGGAAAATGTAAAATCGCCTTATCATTTAATCTGTCGTTAGTATTTGTGATCTGGTTCAATATTTAAAGACAAGCTGTTTCTTTCGTTGGTCAGCATTACTTGTTTCCTGACATCGTCCTTCAGCTGTGCCCTGATACACGTTGCAACAATAATAGATCGTAGATTTTCAGCTAATTGATTAGTAAACATAAACACACTTATAGTTTCCTTGCGGTCAGCACAGGATTTCCTAACGGGAACAAATGAATAAATATTTAGCAAGCTTTATAATACAACCACTTACTTCTCGTAGATAGCCTTTTCCTCGGCAACCTCAGAGGTAATCTGATCTACCTCAGTAATGAAGGAACTGCTTGTGAGTAGTGTGAGGACGAATCTGTCTTACCTTTTCAAAGCGAGACTTTATAACAATCTAATTGTTTTCATTTGCGCATGAGCATGATATGAGCCAAAGTATAATAATGGTAAAAATAGCCTTTCAATTTTCGCTTTTCAATGCAGCGGAAGGAACATCATTAATCAGTATCCTGCCACACCCAAGACTGTTTCCCAGAAGCACTCAAATGACAACTTTCCAGCTTTTAATATTAGCCCAAAATATCTTTTCTGGCCAGCGAGTCAATTTACATCTTTCGATAACGAACAGTTCCACTTGTAAAAAAATATCCTCAGGCATTAGAAACTATTCTAAGTGAGTTTTAATAAGGTTACCTGGCGTGTCTTGTGCTTGCTCAGTGGTACAGGAGCAGAAACGGAAATGTGCTAAAGGAAAAAGGAAATCGCGGGATGGTTCTTAGCTGCGTTAAGAGATCACATTATCCTTAGCTGTTCCTGTTATGTTCACTGAGCGATGTTTGATCTAATTTGACAATGATAAAAAGTTTTAAAAAGTGTACTTAAGATACAAATACTTAGTAAAAATGATTTAAACACATGTACACACAAACCGAAAATGCTCAAAATCATGACCCCAGAACAAAACCGCCTTATTTATACTGTCAACTTTCCGCAAACGGATACTATCGTAAGCGGAGAGTTCTATTCAAGGACACCAATTTCCATGACCTTTTTGCCTTCCAGTCAAATTCTGTATTTACACCGTTATTGAATGGCATCCCCGTAAGTGGACACTCCCTCGTAAGCGGACGTGGACACTTGAAATTGAAAAGTGGATTATATTTTGCCTACGCTTTCTCGGACACCCATAAATAACTGATTCTTAGCAAAACAATTTGTGCAACCAAAAAAAATGAACTTTGACCGATGAACGGAACAATTAAGATCGCTTTTGTCGAATCTCTGTTTATCCGCGGGAGAGCAAGATGGCCGTCGGTTTTTTGACATTAGCCAACATACACACTACTTTTCTTTGCTTTCCACTCATGGGAATAATTTTAGTAGGCGGACAGTTCTAGTAATGAAAAGTTTTTCCAATTCCTGAGGGTATTCGTTTAGAGATAGTTGACTGGCTGTGATTTATCATCCAAATTACCATGCACGAGTAACAGAGGTTATGGATACAATACAACTTTATTACCTCTTCCGGTTATCAATTCAAGATAGGCAAATCGAAGGAGTCGAGTCTTACTCTTGAAATAAGGTGCGTGGTGCAATACTGTGTTTGAATTACGATCATAACTTTCATGTGTTTGAACAGGAAAAGCTAAAGATTCTACAAAGAACCTTAAACAAGAAGCCATTTTTGTAAAGATTCAAAGAACGCTCTACCTGTTAAAGTGTAACTCAGAAAACAAGAATATCAAAAAAATTAATAAAAGCGTTACTCGAGTGCACATAGTCCATCTGAACGATGGAGAGACTATTTAAGAAAATAATCTTTGGCCAAGGCAGCGACGTTAGTCTACTTATCGGGCACGAATGTGACGCTAGACCTCTAGTTGTTTACTGCCCAACGACAAATCTTTATTTCTGAGTTTACCCGCTATTTTTTGTATTTAAATTTTATACTCAGTTCAAGTCAAGGACGAGGCTGGACCAGACTGCTGAAAGGGAAGCAAATTCCAGTGATTTGGATACCTCAAGATCATGATTTGGACCTAAAACCAGGTTTCTTCGCCATACCAAGTATTGCCTTTTTCGTTTCATACACAAAATAAAGATAATCTCAAGAAGCAAATCAACGCAAGCATTCGATTTGAGGTTAAAACTGTTCTACCACCGTAGGTTACACTGTCTGTTGAAGCAGAAAACAAAATAAACAAATAAAAAGAACTACTCAGCAATAACTTATCTACGTCGCTTGCTTAAACATCAATTAGCCTTTTTTCCCTCAGGATTAGGTTTAGATTAGAGAAGAGATTTTCTGATCATATTCATTTAAAACCCGTGCCCAGATGTTTATTGCGATCGTAAAATCTTACATCTAGGGGTCGGCGCGCAGATGATCACATCGATCGTGATGCTGTCGCTACATCCAGGGGTCTTAGATTCGTATCTTACATCCAGGGGTTTTTAACTGTACCTCTGAATAGTCGCTATGTAACAATGGCGAGTTATATAAGGGGGTGTTTTGTTAAAATTGTACGGTAGTTTTACATAAGGGTCTGTTCCCAGCTACTGATATTGATCCAAGATTCTTTCACTGTGTGACCATTGCGTGACACGTTGACGCGAGCGGCTTTGTCTGTACTCTTCTCGACAACGGTATTTCACCTAAAGAAAAATGATCGAACTTGTTAAATTCACGTTGATCTCTATTCTTTTTAAGGGGCACTCTAATATTTTTTTGGTACTGAGAGGTTGTTGTCACTGGTGTAAAAAAAGGCTTTCGTCGGCCATCCAAGCTTACTATAAATAATAGTATACATTGTAAATCACAATAAACCTGTTGTCCTTGTTGTTAATCGCTTTTTCCCGTTTAGAGTTTAAATTTTAGTTTTGAGGCAAATTATATGCAAACGACCATCACTGACTGCAGGAAAAAAGTCAAAGATGCAGCAATTTTTTGCAAGTAGTCATATAGGTAAACCATGATTGAAATGGAATATTTACTTACACTGAATCATAAGAAGATAAACTTTATTTACCAATTGACTTACTAGTAAATACTGGGAGTTTCAACTATTTTCAAGTTACGGGTTCATAAAACACGGCAAAAATTAAAAGGTTTTCTAAGCGGCCGTGGTGTTTCTGCAAGCACCATTTTCTCTTGGTACAAAAAATGATAACAATATTTTGAAAAATTATAGGTCTTTCTTGATGCTAATTTTTATACTACGAACGAAAACGTTAAGGACCTACGATCCTGCAAAGAATTTGGAATTTGAAAAACATGAAGAAGATTTGTGCCACCTTTATTATTATTTTTTATAATTTATTTTTACTCACCCATATTTGGCAAAGTCCGTCCACATTTTCATGACATACAAGCTCAGCCCTTTTTCAATGTCAGAAAATCTTGATGCCAGCTTATCAATGATCGGTTCCGACAAGCTTTGAAAAGGTGCACCGAACACAAACGGGACATCCATGCCATGCACAGCTCCAAACCACTCAGGCAAAGGCGAGAAGACTGCCTGGTAATCGAAAACGTATACAAATGGCGGCCTCCCTCCCTGTAAGCAGAAAAATATAAACTGATTTAATTATCTAAAGTAATTTTTTTCAAATATATATTTTAGTCTTGACAGACGCTATCACAATTGTGACAGTCAAGTTTTTTTTCACGGCTCTAATTACAAAGTGAATTAATTGAAGGATTGGATTGTCAGTCAATGAGTCATTTTTAGCAATAAGTTAATTGGTAATTCACCAGGCAGTGACTCCGCTTTCAGTGAAGAAATCTCTAGATATTGTTTTTATAATGTATCTTATCACAAATTATTTACCTTTGCTAAAGCATTGGCTTCAAGTAGGGCAGGCGCTACAAAATATGCATCACCAATGACGTCCATCAATGATTGTCGATGGGCAGCCTTGTCATCGGGGTCTGCATGGTTAGTATACTCGAATAAGATAAAGTCCTCTATTAGTTTACTCTTTTCCCGAGCATAAAGCAATCCTTTCGTTACAAGATATTTGAAGGTGTCCAGACTCGTTCCATTTTGGACCAGTTGTGGCAAGAACATGGCCATCATAGCACCTTCGTTGTCAGTGAAACCAGTAATTACGTCAACTTCTGAATGAAATTTGCCGGTGTTAAACAGATTTTCAGGCAGATCTGGCAGAAAGTGGCCATCAACTACAGGAGCTAAGATGTCAAGTGGGCCATGATAATTAGCATGAGAAACTCCTTCCTGTCCTTTGATGATTTCATTAGCTGATTTACCTCGTGCACACTCCACCAAACTTAACCCCAAAGTGAAGGGACAGTTTATAGCCTTTGCAAAAAGTTCCAACTGTTTTGGCTGAGTGACTTTTCCACAAAATAAAGGCGAAGAGGCTGCGCCACTTTGTATGATGGCTCTTTGAAAGAGGCCTTTGGATAATGGCGAGATTAAATGGAGGGAGACACTATTTCCCCCAACACTTTCACCAAATATGGTCACTTTGTTTGGATCGCCACCTAAACTCGCAATGTTATTTTGAACCCACTTCAATGCCAGAACCTGGACGCAACAAATGAATTATTAGTCCACGATTAATAATTGAATCGCAGCCGATTTATTCTGGTGATATTCTGCCAAATAAAAAATACTAAGGTATCGGTATTCGGGTATTCAGGTATTCAGATCCTCTAATTTACCTGTTTGCGAAAAAGAGTCCTCAAATTCCCTCCCGTCTACACTACAATCAAAACTTAGTGTAGCGAGTTAGTTTCCTGCTGGGCGTTAACGATCATAAAATACATGAACCCAATACTAGGATAAGTGGCTGCCTGTACAATATCATTACGAAAAGTTTATGCTTTGTTGATCGGTTATTTAAAAAGAAAAGCAAATACCTGATCCAGCATCCCATAATTTCCTGTGATATCAGTGCCAGGAACGTTGAAAAATCCCAGTATTCCTATTCGGTAATTAAATGACAGAAAAATTACATCATTGAAGGCGGCCAAGACTGCACCAGGGTACGAAGAAGAGGAACCTTCCGTGTATCCACCGCCATAAATAAAAACCATCACAACCATCTTTTCGTCGGGTTTAATTGTCGATGGAACGAAAACGTTCAGGAAAAGACAGTCCTCTTCATCACTCCCTGAAACAGTAGCACAAACATTACATTTAGAGGTTCTTACAATCAGGGGTTTATATCAGTATGTCTTACATGACATGTCTGTGCCCCGATGTTCACATGAATCGGAAAATCTTACGATAAGGGGTCTGTGTTGATCGCAAATTCTTACCTCCAGTGCGTATCCTGTGCTCAGCTGTTGATATTGACCTTACAATGTACCTCCATGTTAAACCCGTGCCTAGATGTTTATACCGATCGAAAAATCTTACATCAAGGGTCTGCTCGCAGATGTTGATATCGATCGTAAATGCTTTCCTTACACCCAGGGACCTAAAATTCGTATCTCACATCCAAGGAATTTCAACTGAAACTCTGAATTGTTGCTGTGTGACAATGACGTTTTATATGAGGGTTTTTCTATTAAAATTGTGCGGTAGTTTGTTATAAGAGTCTGTTCCTAGCCACTGATAATGATCCAATATGTTTTTGCATACAATTAGAGATGTACCACACAATACTGACACGGATATTCGACTGTGATGTATGCTTATGAGCGTCAGCTCATTCACGACAAAAAATATTAAGATGGTAAAACGATCACCGCAATGACATGGAAACTTGAGTTGGGTTAAGAGAGTGAGACAGAAAAAAAAACATTAGACCATCGTTATTTATGAGAGCTCGTTATCCCGAAATGATGAAAGCAGCTGAGCCGTGAAGCTAATGACGTCAAGAGACAGCCACTACAGATTAATCGCTACACTTTAAACAAAAATTGATTTCACCCGCAGCGTCACGCAACGATCTCGTTTACGATCTCAAAGACATGGAAATCAGGAGTTTCAGCAGACTTTCAACCAATTTCATTCTATAATCCAGCAGTAATGGCAAATAACTTTATCAGCTCCTTGGTTAAAGCAGTGTAAAGGAAAACTGCACTGGTTCTTTCGAACAAGATGCACTTTAATACCAAGCAAATAATGTACGACGCAAACATATTCGCTGGTATATCAAGGAGAAATTTCCGAAGAGCTGTAGTCCGTTGATTTGAGCCATAAAATTTCCTTCTTATTAACTAAGATGTTAATCATGCATCTAAAATAGAATACCTGGATGAAAAAGGCCGGCATTAGGATAGTTCAATGCCGGTTGTCCACAAGTTGCTCCAAACTCAGTGGCTTGTTTTATCCCCGTCCAAGGTTTGATGGGCTTTGGAGCTGCAAACCTCAACCCTTCAACTGGAGGCTCTGCATATGGGATACCAAGATACTCATACACTGATTTACCGTTTGGAAGGACTTCAATTTTACCGATAACTGCTCCAGACTCGGTGTGAACGACGGGGGAATTCTGAATCTCCTCGGGTTCAGCTCGAGTTGATTTTGAAGCAAAAAGATTTGCAAACGTGACTACGAAAACTAACCCCCAATTCATATCGATAAGTGTGAGTTACCTGATGATGTCGGGTGTTTAGCGCATTTTGTCGCGTCCAGTGTAACTCGTCCTTGAGCCGCAACACCACTGAATTCAGGGGTCTGGGAAAGTCACATTCCTGTTTTTGTCACGCGGTAAACGTTGTTATCTTTCCGTTTTAGTTTGGTCACTGATGATAAAGCGCCGGGTGACAACCGAGGTGGAATACGACGTGTGAGGAGTTCAGGAAAGGTCAGACACTTCCACACATAGTAGTCAGCCCCTATTATTTAAATTCGCTCCACATAGGCTCTGCTTGCCAATGTTCAGTAAAGCGTTTGGGTTTCCTATCGATATTCCATCCAAAGCACTTCAAAAAAACTTCTGAACACAAAATAACTCTTCTTAAAAAAAAAAAAGCAAGCTTAAGCGATTGCGTGTTATGATTATCTCTTATACTGTAGGGATTCCGTTTTGTACTACTCTAATTTTTCAATTAGGGTTCCCGTCGCGTTAATTCGGAATGTAATGGAGACGTTGTTGAGAATTTATTTTCTGCTTAAGATCAATAATAATTTCTTCTCTCATTTCCTTTCATTTTTTTATTTTATCGACTTTCACTGACCCTACCTGGTTTAATTCTTAAATACGTTAACGCCATCGATTAGTGTAGAAATCGATACTAACCGATTCACAATTACTCATCCACACAAATACGATCGGAACCATCCTGGGAAAGTCCTTAGTCGATTACTGGTCGATCATTGATACCAATCAATCAAACTCCATTGGTTTTAATATCGATTTATATCCATTTTGCTCGGTTATGCGTTCAAAGATTGATTTACAATCCTCTCCAGGAGGAGGTGTCATCTGTACCTTGAAACCCCTGCCTCAAGCTGCATGTGACATCACGAAATCTGTTCAACGTGGCACGTTTACAAATGTAAGAAGGAAATCTTCTACAAATGAAAACAACGAAACTCGTGTTCTTTTAACCTACATAGTTCTTTGTTTTTTTTTTTAAGGAGAGGTACAGCGCTTCACCCTCATGATAAAGAGAAGTATCGATCCCTCTGGAACCGTGATGATCCCTCCTGACTCTTCGCCCAGCATGTGGGAAAGGTCTCGATTCGTTAATTTCGCCAGGGTTTCAGAAGCCTAATCCAAGTCGAGTCCGTTTGCTCATTTCTCTTTTTGGTGGGGCAAATCTCTGCAAGTCACCGTAATAATCCTTATTGATCAATAAACTGGAAATTAAACGTTGAAATCTTGGATCTCGTGATGGATCTTTCGAACGACGTTCCTTGTAGTGATCAACATTCAAGGTCAATGAATTTATATCGGGTAATAATTGGACCTCCTCGTCTCTCAAGCTTGATCTCTTACTCCATCTGCGTACCCCTTTCCTCGGCTTTTCCCTACTTCCAATTGGAGGCAATTTCGTTGTAGCATTTCTTCCTTTTGCCTGGGAGTTCTTTCGTCTCTCAGTGTTTCCTTTCGCCAGCAGCGACGAATTACCAGAATCATTCTTTCGTTTAGCTTTCCTCTGGATCTCGATAATTTTTTTGTCTCTTTCCTTTCGAGCTCGAGATTCAGTGCTGTACAGCTGTATGATGTCCTTTCCCGTTGGTTGTTCGTCTTTCCACTCCGTCTGTATTACTTTAAAAGAAGATTTGCTTCGCCACATGTTCAACTCAGTGTTTTGCGATAACCATGGACCACCGTTCTCAAGAGTTACGTGAAATGGATCGATTGGATTACAGGAGTCTTGGGATTATATTGAGTTGCAAATCTTCTTACCTCAGTTAACCAATAAGAGGGCCTTCCTCAAATGTTTTCCTTCAATGTGTTACTAAAATTACTCCTCAGCATAGAGACCGCTCTTATGTTTACAAGCTGTATAGTCGGTGTTTGGGGCGCGTAATGAGATGTCGAAAGTTGTTGATACGGGGCCTCAGGCGATGATGAACTTAGCAGACACAAAACAATGTTGACATTCCAAACTAGATTTTTTAGCCGGCGTGTAATTGTGCGATCAGGTGGTAACTATATAAATAAACTTTTCAATTCTTTGAAGTCTTGTTTGTGTTATATCGCCTAGAAATCATCTGCCGGATGACGCTGATAGAAAATGAAAACACATACTAAATGATATTCAGTACGTGATAAATGTGAATTGCGTGCGAACTAAATATATTGAGCAAACAAGCTAGTGTCTCTTCATTAAGTGAACATGATATGCGACTGACACTAAGGAACACTTGTGTCAGTTATGCGTGACTATCTATTTCAATGAACAAACATGACACTTTCGTTATTCATCAGATGATGTTTGTTTACTTTTCGCGGCTTTGTGGTAGCTATCAAGGTATCAATTTCTATTTTCGTATCACTACATGAGGTAAAATCATTTGGAGGATTTATGATCTTTATTGTTTTATGAATTTCAGATATTGGTTTTTCTGTGGATGATTTTTGTATAACAATAACAGTCTACTTTGAGGATATTAGGGAATGCCACTGTGGAATCGCATTTTCCTGGGGGTTCGAAATGATGACCCATATTGAAAATAATATTTCTGAGGTCCAAGAGCATTCCATTGGAAATTAGAACAAGTGAATAATCAACGTCACAAGTGAGAATCTTACTTACACAAGGATAAACTGAAAATCATCACAACTGATATTGAGTCATGGTATCGAAGGCTTCTTTCTTACCCTCGTTTAAACTAGACAGATCGGGCTTTTGAGCAACTCGGAAATGTTTTGTTCAGACAGAATAGTTCAAATAGAAGATAGATTATTTCCAACGTAATATTTTACTAGTATTGGTATTGACAAAGTTTTCATTTTAGAATATAACGGGGCACAAGCTTAAGGAAGCGATTTATAAGATTGAATATGACAGTGGTGTATATACGGGGCAAGCAAAAATTTTACACTTTTTATTTACGAATTCTCCCGTATTTCTTCAGTTTGAATGGTAAGTGATATCCTAGCTTGTGGGCTTTCTGTATACTTGCTGCTGGACTGGAAACTGGTTCTGTATGTAAGCTTATGGTATCTGGGGAAATTAAACTGATTTCAAGTATCTGTTAAATTCTCTTTATCTATATGTGTAACTGCGGCATTCCCACTTAGTGATTTCTTTCCTAGGACGTTCCTAATTACATTTTCGTGTTTTTTCACTCACATTTTTCTTATTGTTTTCGCATACTTTTCACCCACGGCGATTTGTATTCTGTTAGATTTTTCGCATATTTCTTCTTTGTTTGATTTCATTCGTAAACGTTTCTCAAAAAAATTGAACATTGGAGTATCAGAGTGCATTAGGTTAACATCAATTCCTTCACTGCGAACATCTTTTAGTTTTTCTGTCCTTCGTGCTCGCAAGTCACACAACGTTTGTAAGCGTCTTTCCTTGTCCGATTGTATTTCCTCTGTTGTTTGGCGTTTTCCTATTCCTTCTACTTCGTAATAACTTGTAATTATTTATTCCTTTTAGCAACCACGATCAACCGTAATGTAAATAAATTTTATAGCGTTCGCGTGCTGAAACCTGACTTTGTTGGCCGTCACAATATGTTAAACAAATTTCAGCATAGAACCTCATAGATAAAAATCTCTATGTCGCACTTTGTATGAAGAAGTCTATATATCATGCATGCAGTTTCGTCCACCGAGAATTGCTTTTTTATCCTGAAAATATCTATCTTTTTTATTTCATTGGCCATTTCAGAGTTATGTTCATTGTCAGAATTTCTTTTTTCATTTCAAAGCTTAAATAGGGTCAGACCTAAGGGCGCCAACTAAACTCCCATCGCAACTGAAGTCTCCTACAGTACTCATTTAATTTCAGTTCATTTAAGTGGCACTAGGATATCAAGAGGCAAAGACTCTCTATCATGAAACAGGTTTCGTTGAATGTTTTTCTACTTTTTTACGGTCACTGTATCTATGAGAAAAAGTGTTAACTCCAAAAGGGAAATCTACGGCTTAACCAACCGTTTAAGATGTATAAATGGTGCCAAAAGTAGTGTATCTACGGAAGATTAATTATGTCGAGGAAACAATAGACATCATTAGACTTCTTGGCACCTCGCAAAACTCTCGTTAGAGTTTATTTTTGACGAGATTTGTCTAATCTGAAATAGCAAACTTTTTCCTATCTGAATTGTCCTCACGTCACACATGCAAGTTTAGAGAGATTGGACGGTATCTTTCTAAAGTTTTCGCTTTATTTGAAGAAATAAGTAACGCCATTTTCTAATGCTGTGCGATCATGGTTGACTATACTGAGAAATTTTTCAAGGAACAACAAGTTGGTTGGGTCGGAAAAGCTGAGATGACTAAACTTCTGATCGTAGCAGAGGTAGAATAAAATCAAAATTTAGTTTTTTGCAACCATTTCCTTGAGGTGCTAACAGAAATTACAGGTTAAAGAGAAGAAGCATGTTTCCATTGAGAGGCAATTACCACAACAGAATATCGGAACAAAAGGATTTTGTCTTTCAATGTGATCTAAGGGGTGATCAAAATGTTTTGTTCTCCTAACTCGTTAAAGTAATTTATTTTTCATCAACGTTTACTTAAAAACACGCTGTTAAACACTGAAAACACCCGAATGTCCAATATTAGGAATTTTTGTTCAGACCTTTGCAGATGCGCGAGAACTAATCGAACCGCTTCTGAACTGACTACTGTAGGTTAAGTATTCCTTCCACTCGGTAAATATTCTATTCCACTGCTTTTACCTTGTAATTATCCTAATTGGATCTTGATGATAATATTATCATATGGGAATCATCATTGTGTTCAGGGTTAAATGAGATGATGGAAAACTTCTGAAATCTCAGCATATGTAACCAGCTTACCATGGCCATGTGCACCTGCTTATCGAAACTTTTTTCGTGCATAGCCTTATGGAAAACATTCACATTGTGAAATGCCGCTTCCTCGTAAAAGAAGGCGACCTTTCAGAGCTTTTTGTCAAAGGAACCAGACAGGATATAAGTTTTTGGAATCTCGGATCCTTTCCAATTTTTGCGTCTCTTTCTT